AAGCCTTACAGCGTTTATTTCTCATGTGACCCTTACAGGGTTAAGCAACTGAAAGATGAATGAAAAAAATTAAGTGTTTTGCCCGCCTCCAGAAAGGGAAACAGAAATTTGTATAAATGTATAGCAGCTGATATCAGTGACATGCTTTGAGGTCTAGTCTGCTCTGTTCTCTAAAATCCCTAAATGCTATATTTATTTCTCTTTTATGAAGGGGAGTATCTGTCTGCTGTACTCTGAGTGTTGAATCCTTTTTCTTACTAGTGCAAAGTAATTTTTATTACGATGTATTCTGTATCCTCTCCGTTCTCTCTCCAAACACCAAGAGAAGTTATAAATTATTATCCCAACAATGTCGTCATGTCTGAATGTTGTCCTTTAATTTAATTTCAGGTCAATGGGTAGCACTAAATTCCAGCCAGTTGACGGGAGAACCTCTGAATGAGTTTCATTACTGCTGGCCAGGGCCTCCATGGCCCATACCCAAAAAAATTCTGAACTCATTTTAAAACAAATCTACATTTTATGTCAGTTATTGGGAATTAATCCAGCCTCTCTGTCCAACTTCAACTTGCATTGTAGCGTTTCAACCAAGAGTCTCACTGTCTTGTCCACCAGACCCAAGTTTTCCAGCAGTGGTGAACACGCCAAGAGTAGTCAATGAATTGCATAAATTTCCATTATAATGAACATGTTGTATTAGTGATGAGATACACTGAGCACAAAGGCCTGACTCAGGATGCTTTTCACATGGGATAGTTATGTTCTTAATTTATTTCTATGAAAGCAAGCATAGTGCTGTAAGAATATTTTTTTTTCTTTGTGCATGCTGTTCTTTCCAAAGGTATGATTCTGGACAATACAATACAGATTCATGGAAAGTTAGGCCTGGGCTAGTTCTGTGCCTTCCATAATAGTAACTGGTAGAAAGGTTAATGGAAAAGTTGATAATATGATCCAGAGACATGCATATGTCCCTGTGGACAGTTACTAAAGTAATCTAATATCCTGTTTCTTAGGCATCCACTGACAAGTATATTTTACTATATTATGTTACATTATATTATATTATTTTTGAAAGCAATAAAAAAGGAAAACAAAAGTTAAACAGCAACTCAAATAAAAGAGTCAAAGACAGAAACATGGAAACTGCTGTTGATGAGTTGTACTTCAGGCTTACAAATGTTAAAAGATAACTGTACTTTCATAATAAGTACAGTTATCCTAACCATCTAAACCCCTTGATCAAAGCAAACCTGTCCTCCCCCATTCCAGATACCTTACCTTACTACTTACCTTAAAGTGTTACTGTGGCAGAAATATCATGAGGTGCAACTTTGCAATTAAATTGAAGCTGTGGTTAGGATATGGACATTCAAGTATTCACATATTCTTTACAAGTAGTATATGAGCTTTAAAACCATACCTTACTGACTTCTGTAGCTGCAGGTACTGGGGAACAATTCATCCTCAATGTTTACAGCTGAAACACTGATTTTTCTGTCTAAAATGGCTAACCTCCCCCTGCCAAAAGTGACATGGCAGCCTTCTAGTTTGTAGTATAAACACAGAAGAAAAGCTCTGTGAGGGGAGCACAGTGAGATGAGTTGTTGAGAGAGGGACTTCAGCTACAGATGTCAGTGAGGGCTTCTTTTAAAGCTCATTTACTGCTTGTTAATAATATTTAATTAATTGAATGTCATATCCTGACCAGAGGTTCACTTTAATCCCACATTTGCAGCCTCCCATAATCTTTACATCCCACCAGCCAAAAACCTTTTAATGTCTATTGCTGTCTTCTATGATAATTCCAGGAGAATCACTTCTGTTGGTTGATAGCCAAAAAATGCATTCTATATAAAATGTATTTTATAAAATATATTTTATATCACAGGAGCTTCCATATGCTATACATTGCCATAGCAAAAACTGAAATGTATAAATATAAAAATATGCACTATTGACTGATATGGGCATCAAACATTATGTAAATGAAGCAGCAACATAAACATAAAGGATCGCAAACAAGGAAAATATGAAAGCCACATCAAGAACAATTTTCAGTTACACTTTATAATATATGGCTCACATTTTCTAAACGAGTAAAGGTAATTTATTTAGCCTAGTTACATAGTTACATAGTATTTGAGGTTGAATAAAGACATTAGTCCATCAAGTCCAACCTATTAGGATCTCATTCTAGGAGTACCCGTACCCCTGTATATTACGGTCCCTTAAGAAATCGTCCAAAAGTTTCTTGAACAATTCCACATTCTTTGCTGAAATCACTGTCTGTGGCAGTGAGTTCCAGACCCTAACTGATCTTACTGTGAAGAACCCCCTTCGCCCCTTGTGCTGGAATTTTTTTTCCACCAATTTTAGGTGGTGGCCTCTAGTTTTTGTAATGGAGTTAATTTTAAACAGTTTATCGCTAATGTTGCTACCACCATTAAACATTTTGTACATGGAGATCATATCCCCCCTCAATCTCCTCACCTCCAATGTGAACATGTTTAAATTTAGTAGCCTTGTCTCGTAGCTCTGGTCCTCCATACCCCTAATTAGTTTGGTTGCCCTCCGCTGGACTTTTTCCAACTCAAGGACATCTTTTCTTAGTACTGGTGACCAGAACTGGACCGCGTACTCCAGATGAGGTCGAACCAATGATCTAGTGAATGAGGTGAAGCTGTGTGACTTCAATCATCCACTGCAAGCAGATATCCTGTTTTTTCTAAGTTTCTTTGAACATAACTGGGTATTCAAAGTGAATTTTTAGATTGTAAGGGACCCTCTTCACCCTCTTACAATGAATTGTATCGTAACTCTACTGCCCCCCTTCATTTTGAAATTTCTGAGCAAACTGTTTGTACTATTAAAAACCTGAATAATAATAATAGTAATTATTATTATTATTATTGCACAGCTATACCTCATTCACTAAGCAAATGAACATGCTTTACTCCTTTAGTAAATCAACCCCACAATGTGTACTTACTGATAATATATTATATTTCTCTCTATATATATAAATAGCTAAAGAAACAAATTCACACAGATGGTGCCTAGATAACAGAAGGGATAGTCTGCTTTATGTGTGAACGCTGTGCAGAAATGAGACAAGAGTTTTGTCATGGACTTGTGGTAGAAGATGAGTAGCAGTCCGGCAGACCACTCCAGCTGTAGACGTTTGAAGAGATTATAAGAAGGAAGTGGGAGGATGGGGAACCAGATAAAAGACACATGGAGCAAATGAATATGAGAACGTGTTAGGGGAAACATTATTTTTCTAGTAACAAAAATGCATTTTAATAATTTGTTGCTCGAAAATTTGACCTGAAATCCATATTTTATGCTCGACAGAAAAGAAGGTTTTAGTTTATCACACGTATGAACCCATAGTGCTCAACAATAAAGTATAGAATCCAAGTGAAAGAGATACAATACAGACAATCCAGCTAATATCCGCCTCACCACTGTAATAACATTACTGGTATCCCCATGTAGGCTGGAGCCCGTCAGTCAGACAACAATGGCAAGATTAATACATCTGCCACTAATGATGATCCCATGTTGTGTGGGATTGCAGAAATGTTTCTCAGCAGAATAAGTCAATTAGACAATAAAACAAATGTGGATTTGACACCCCTAGGAAATATGGCAAAGAAGTCAATAACTTGTCTGCTGCAGAGTTCTCTCCCTCTGGTTGGGATTTGACTTGGAAAACATTCATAAATGGACTAAACAAATGTGGAAGATTTGAAATTCAGATTGTTATTACCTCCCCTAACCTGATGTCGGAATAAAACCAGAGAGACAGTCTACCACGAGTTTAAACTTTGGAAATAAATCTTTTCAGAAAGAGAGAAAAAAAAAAGTTACATCTGAAAGCAATTGAAACAAACAAGATGATGTTCGAGTGATGTGCAATCAAGCTGAAAATATAACTCAGGAATGGCTGGGTTGTATTTTGTCAAGTTAAGCTTGGAATCCTGAATTATGAACTCAGTACAGTTGGTTCTTTACCTTACTGTATTTGCTGAAAGTAATTATCTGTGAGATTGGGAAGGTTTTGTTTTAGCTGAAATTGGTTACATCACTGAAGAAGTACCTGTGCAACAGGTCATATCATAAGTTAAAGCTCAACTCTGGGCGCAATGAATGTACCCAGGATAAAGCAGTTATACATTCCGTTGCTACTAAAGCAACTCAACCGTCATGCTGGCTTTATTGTACATCAGGCAAATCTGTTTGTTTCCATGCCAGGATCAGTACAGCTCCACTGTACTTGTGGCCTTCTCAGATGTTAGCGCGGCAGGTCTCATAGACCCTAGGGATACCGTAAGATCACTGCCTCCTTCTCTTCCTGGCCACTCACAAAACACACAACCCCAGGATCTGTTTTGCGAATGGCCAGGAGGAGAGGGGGCAGAGACACAACCATAGCCCTGAGGGAGACCTGCAACACTTACATGTAAGCAGGCGAGAAGTACAGCAGGAGCTGTGCTAATCCCAACCTGTTTGGGGTACTTGAGAACTGAGGTTGGGACACACTGCTTTAGTGGATGTGTATGTGTAATACTGTATATGGAAAATAATGTTCCTGAAGGTCATTGTGGTCTTATTTGTGCACTTGTTGTTGAGTACTGTCCATGATACTTTTTTATGCGTGCTAACAATTACATTTCTGGACAGTTTTTGGGGTGGATATTTTTCTTCAGAGTATTATTGTTTGGATCGAGAAGAAGGGGGTAGACCCCTGAAAGCTTGTACTGAGTTGTCCTGATCAGGAAACTCATGTTTTGGATGAGCCCCAGCTGCCCTCGCTGGCTTGGAAGAGAGATTACTAAAGACCGAGAGGGGGGTCAAACTCTTCCACAGACTGCTCAACGTTAACCAAAAAAAAGTTTGTGGAGCTCCACTTTAATATCACCTTTTTTTTGTAAGATACATTAATGCGTAAGACAAAGAAGAGATGTCAGTTGATAAATGGCAATAATACTGACCTGTACTGAAAGGGATGGAGTAGACAAAGCTACCAGGAATCTGCTCAGCTGCTCTACGGTACCACAGGGGAAAGTGATCAGCATTGTATATACTCTCTCTGTCGTCAGACGTAAGGAAATCTCTTGAAACATAATAGGAGAAATAACAGTCACATTACATATGTGGATAAAGTAAACACTTTCAATGATATGCATTGTGTTTATATTATCTAATGAAGTGGTGAGGAGGGAGATGGAGTTTTATTTCAGAAAAAAGTTTATTTTGTTTCTTGTATTCTTTGCTTTCTATATGATCTGGGGAAGGTTCCTATGTATCCTAATGAGTGCCAACGCTTGCCAGACAAATCTTATTATCCCATTTTTTACACCTCATTAATTAAAATAGACAAATACACACACACACAAAACACACACACCAATATTGATTCTACCTCCATCCCCTGCTGGCTGTTGATTTCTGGCAGCCGGTGCTCACACCAGCTGATTGTCTATAGTCACTGTTCAGCCAACAATTTTCCAACCGGCTCCTTCTACAGAAGTCAATTTAAAAACAAATTTTGTTGAACAGGATGGTGCCAGCAGGGTTGCCCGCGGGTCGAATTTTGCACAATTCAGCAGGAAAAGGACGAAATCTGTATGGTTTTCTTCACTGTACTGTATTTAGGGAGGGAGCCATGGTTGTCACCAAGGCTAGATTTCAAACATGTTTGCCTTTGTTCATCTCCATGTAGGGTGATGTGATAACTATCTTACACAAGACAACATAGTTTCTGCATTTATTTATTTTTACAAGAAGTAACAAGGACACTGCATTTCTGGCAAGTTCAGCAGGTATCTTCTGTCCTTACCTACTGGTAAGTACAATATATTACCTTTTTTTTATTGGATTTAGTTATCTTTAACTACTTAAAGACCATGTTTACCTTTTCAGGTATCTAAAGTATAATGGCCTAACACATGTCACTCCTGACAGAAGATCCTACAGCACCAAGATCTCCGTCAAGAAAACCATTGATCCCCTTGATGTGATAGCAGAACTTTGAAGGGAATCTTTGATTTGATGGTCATTAGCAACATCTCTAGAGGAACAAACCAGTGAGACACGTTAACAGGTGTCTAAACTATAATACCATAACACATAACACTCTTGAAACAAGATCTCACAGTACCAAGATCTTGACCAAGGTAACCACTGATCCACTGTATTGACAGCAGATCTTTGTTGTGATGGTCATTAGCAATATCTCTTGAGGAACAAACAGGTGAGAAACCTTATCGGGTGTCTGAACTATAATCATCTAAACATCACCCTCTTCAAACAAAGTCTCACAGTACCAAGACCTTGGCCAAGGAAACCATGGATCCCCTGTAGTAACAGCAGAACCTTGGAGGGAATCCTTTTTTGGTAGCCATGAGTAATATATGTACAGGAACAGACCAGTGAGGCGCTACTAGGGAGAATTAATCTTGGACAGTAACAGCAAAACGGACCATCATCACAAGTGAAAATCCCTATTACTGTTTATTTCCAAAGAAGAATAGGAGGTATACTATTTTAAAGTTAGTAAATGGACAGAGAGGTGTTCTGCAGAAACATTCTATTTTTCATTCAGAGAAGAAAACCCTTTGATATTTTATTGTACGGTGTCTGGTACCTCAATGGTTGGATAAACCCGCTGAGAAAACATTACATATCAATTATGTTATCTGATTTTCTGTCATAGGATGTGCCAAGTTCAATTTATTGTATAAGCAGTCTAGAAATGCCTTCACAGGCATTTTTTTTGTCATCCTATGTTCAGTTTGAAATGCCAACGTTTGCAAAAGGTTTATTTTAAAGCTGTACTCCAGGAACACAAGCTTTCATCTTAATATATTCTTCAATAGCTACAAAGGATATAAACACACTTTGTGTGCACTAAAAGCCTGTGTAAACCCAGAGATTAACTTGTAACAGTAGCAGAGACATCATCTTTGCGCTGTACATAGCCTGTGCAGAGAGCAGAGCTGTGGGAGGGACCCCGCAGAACCCACCCACTACAGGCTGCCTGCAAAAAACTACAAGAGGGGGCAGATACGAGACCAGTCACCCTGCACAAGGAGAGTAAGCAGCAGTGACTGGTCTTTATTACAGGAAGTTAATGCACAGTGGCAAACTTTGACACTGGATCACTGCACAGATGTGGAAAAAATGCAAAAGCACACCAAGATTCAAGTAAGAATACACAAGACTCTTGTATTTAGACAACATTGATCTGAGCTTTAAAGTGCAACTCCAGGCGTAATTTTTTTGAGTGGTGAAATGTTAGAACCTCTTTCAAGTCTTTACTGTTTGTTTGTCTGATGTGGAAATTTCTCCTCACTTTCTATCCCAGAGGAGATACAGTAAGTGAGGTCACGTAGCTAAGACACAGAGGGTCTAGCCCTTACCCACTCCGCTACACGAGTTTGTTACTGTTTGCATTTGCCTTGAAGAGATTTCCCTCTGTATCCTATCCCAATGACGCTATTTATAGACCCTAATGTATCTCTGGAGCAGCAGCAGCTTAAATGACAACTGTACCTTTGTCTGCAGGGTTCAGGGCATGGCTGCACAGGATTGAGGACAAAGGAAAGTATTTCTCTAGGTGGGGGGTTATTGGGCATGCCTTATAGGATAACTTAAAAGGATAACTATATTTTCCTGTATTTTATCAGCTCTGAAAAAGTTGTACTTTCAAATAAAAATATATTTTCCAATTTCTACCCAGCATGTATAATTCAATAGGAACTTTCCCTCGCATATCGTTAAGGGCTGACACTCGCTGCTTGGCTTGCCTGGAACCAATATAGCATTAATAATATTTGGCAATAATTCCTTTACCTTTTAAAAATAGCAAATATGACCAGCTTAAGAAGACCTTAAAGAACATTGGCGGACTGCCCAACGCATGCACCTAGGAGATCACTGCGTCAGGCTCAAGCAGGTCAGGCAGTGATTAACACCATTTCATGGCACCTGGAGTATGGAGTACAGTAGGCTCATGTAGAGGCTCGATGGCTGAGATATTCAAAGAGACCCTGTTGTCAGAGCATCCATTTCAACATAAATATTCCCAAAAGATTATACTGTATATGCATTTAACATATTTTATGTAAGTTAATTGGTGTAAAAGGCTCCCTTGTGTAGACATCTTAAAAAACCCTCAAAATGCTTCTGGTAGCCAATATTTTGCATGTAATGTCAGCAGCCCCAGCAGACTCAGAACTGTCGCTTAAGTGTCATTCTAAAGTACTGTACTACACTACTCCCTCAGCAGCTACATAAAATGTTATGTAGGGAGCTAAATGGAGGTAAAGGAGCTTTGCCAGCACAGACAATAATTAGACACTCCCAGAAAAGGAACAGGCTATGACATGCACACAGGGAGGGGGCTGTGCTAGGGAAATGACTAGTTAATTTTCTAGCCAGTTCAAAGGCACATTGAAAACATTGCAAGTAAGCATTTAAAATACTTTTTACTGTGCTTTTACCTGCAATGTTTTACTTTGGTGAAGGCTCTCTTTAATTTTTAATTTTTAATTCATAATTAAAAAATTATCTGTAAATATGTAAACAGGATGATGTACCATTTAGGAAGTGAAGCCTGGTTTAGGACAGGCAGGAATGCCTGTGTCCTGGGTTTACATAAGCTACAGCTTCTCATCAACACATGGGGGATAAAGACTCTATGGAACTGCTCATACCTGACTGCAAGAAGCCCAAGACCACCTTCCGTCTTACTGTTCATTGTATTCAGTTATGTATTCATTAAAAAATTAAACAAAATTGTTTTTAAATACTATTTTAACTTTTTCTTGCACTAGACTTGCAATCCCTTGCACATAAGCATTCCGACTAGGAGTTTAACAAACTGAGTGCTGATTGGTGGAAAGGACACAGATATGACCTAATCAGTGAGTTGCTGCTTCTTCATTATCCAATCATGGTGCTGACCAAGCTGTATAGCTTATACATATTTCTACTGTGTATTTATCTATCTGCCTACCAGTGGCGTAACAATCGCCATAGTGACCCAGGTGGCCGCTATGGGACCTGGGGGACAGGGGGGCCTGGCCAGGACATCCCCCTGATGCCATGCAGGTCGTCTGGGTCGCTATGGCATCTCAGGCTGGTGGCTGTCACTGGCAGCTGTGAGGAGGAACGTGCTGCTATTCACATCACTGACAAGCTGTGGCCGTTCCTCTTCACAGCCGCTGCTGAGTCTGTAACAACCAGCAGCTTCAGAAGAGGAGGCGGGGCCCAGCAATGGAGGCGGCAGGGGCCTGGTGATGGAGGGGGCAGGGCCCAGTGACAGAGGAGGCGGGGCCCACCAGCAACTGTGGAGGAGAAGGAGGCGGACAGAGGATCAGGGCTGACAGGTAAGAGGGTTTGACCATCCACCTGAGACCTTGCAGAGCCCACCGCAGAGGGCTCTGCAGGGTCACTCTCAGGTGCAGGCCCAGATTTCCCACAAGGCCACCGAGGCCCGGCAGCGGTGTGGAGTCCCCCGACTTCGGGCACCGGGCGGGTAAGTTGCCTTGTGGGGAATCCGCTCGTACTTTTACAGGTGATCGCGGCAGGAGGGGGGCGCATAGCAGAACCTGGCCTTGGGGCGGCAGGGAGAGTAAATCCGGCCCTGCTCAGGTGGCCTGTATGGGTTATCAGGTGGGCGTAACTAGAAATCACAGGGCCCCATACAAAATTTTGCTGTGGGGCCCTGTGATTTCTAGTTATGCCCCTGCTGCCTGCACTTAGTTTAATGCTTTTTCAGAGGTGTTAAAACATGAAAGTACAGCTATGCTTTAAAATTGTAGCAATGCTTTCTTTTTTATTATGAAGTATCCAGAAAAACACTGTTCTATAACTTAAAGAAAATGGACAATAACTTGTAGCAGATGGGAAAATTACACTAAGCTGGAGTAATGCAGCATAACACGCTGTATTCTGAGTATCACAACCACTTCTACAAACAACTTAATACAAAACTGCTGTTTTCAGATCTCAAGGTTAAGCTAAATAAGCAGCGTTTCATTTTAAGCTTAAGAACATTTAAGAAAAAAAGAATGACATTGGCACTGAAAACAATAGTTAGGAAGAAATGTACAACTGGGGTGCACAGCAAACGAGAGCCCTAAAGCAAAGTACTGTATTTTGGCCCTTTCGTTTGAAGTCTTGAATTTCGGTGGCTGAAGCTAAGGATTCAGCAATTCTGTAATTTGGCACAATTTTTCAGACCATGCTTCATGGTCACTTGATGGTCATAAAAAGTCACAAAAATGGCTGATATATATAAATTAAAAGAAAAAAGAGGGAGGGGATTTTTCATACCAACCAACCAGATGTTTGCTGATATTTGCTAGAATGCATTAGAAAACATGATAGCTAAACATTTTCAAAGAGAAACTAAAGTGATTTAATTTTTTTTAGCTATTCAAGTGAAAGTAATCTGTACCTTAAATAATTGTACATATGCAGGTCCTATCTTCTTTATAGCACTACATAATTATTATTTTTTCCAAAAGTCAATAGATGCATGAGATGTCAACCACCTGACTGAATCAAATTGGCTAATGACTGGTTACCTGCTGTCAGGGTCAGGAGCCAATTGGGTAGGTGAGAAAACCAGTGTAGACCCATTTGTAAGGGTCTCTGCATGTCACCTTGATAAAGAGGGTCCACATACAAATGATGTATTAATATGAAACTTCAGTAAACAGTCACTCTTAGGGCAGGTGCACACCTAGGTGTTTGCAGCTTTGCTTGTTTTCACGGTTTTGCACGTTTTTGCTGTTAAAAAGCGTGCATTCCTCCGGTGTATGAATGTCTATGGGACCAAAACCGCACGAAATCCACCTGAAAAAGCTCCTGCATCTTTTTGCACAGAGCTATTTTCTTATGTGCACTGCAACGCTAAGGTGTGAACAGTCGCCATTGACTTACATGTAAATGTGTGTTTTGTGCGCTTTCACTTGTCTAGATCTGCGTGGAAACATGCTCAGTTGTAAACCAGGCATTAATGTCAGGTGTACTGGCTTTCTTCTTTATATGAGCAAGCCTGTACTGATTTCTACTGGTCCACAGCTAACAAGCCAGCACCAGCTTGTACTCTGTGCTGTTCTCCTTTCTTCTCCCACTTGTGGTAAAAGCATGTTAAGGGCCCAGTTAAGGGCCCCTTCCCACTTGTAGGAAAAGCATGTCATTAATACTGTTATGACATGTTTTGTTAAGGCCAATACATCACAATGGCACTGAATTCATATCTGCACTATTTTTTTCAATGCAGCATAATGTTGAAAGGGAGATGCCTTGAAGGAACTTTGGTTTAGTGCATTGGGGTTCCATTTGAAACTAATGGCATTGCAAGATGCTGCAGTGAGGAATGTTCATTGCTGTACACTGCAGTAACGTGTGTTTCTGTAACACATAGGTGTAAGGCTGGCTTAAAGGAAATCTATAATGTGGAAATATGTAAGCTGACATAACTAACATCTCCTTCTAGAAAAGGCAGCTCCTTGGCTGCCATGCTGATTAACTGTTCTCAGAATCCGATGAGTAAATGACTAAGAACAAGCCAGCAAAATCAGATTTTCTGACTTTACTTTGACTTTGCTCATTGCATGGTTCTTCTGGGTAAATACAGTACCTGAAAAACAATTGACACTTAAGCCAGGAAAATAGTATTTAGAGAAGGAAGTATGCAATGACAGCTTCCATATTTCTCACAGAACAAGTGATATTTAGGTAAAAGCTCAGGCATACGGGTCTATTTACCCCTGAGGGTAGTCTATTTGCCTGAGGGTGGTTGGATTATATATAATATGGCCAAAACTTGTGGACACCTGACCATCACAATTATTTGACCTTATTGGACATCCCATTTCAAAACCAAGCACAATAATAAGGATTTGAAACAACTTTTGTAGCTATATCAGCCTTTACTGCTCTGGAAAGGCTTGTTTACAAGATTGTGTCTGCACCCATTCAGGCAAAAGAGCATTTGCGAATTCAGGTACTGATGTTGGATGAGGAAACCTGGCTCTGTTAAAGTCAGGACTCTGTGGTGGCCTCTCAAGTTCCTCTACAACAAACTTGCCAGCCATGTCTTAATGGAGATGGATTTGTGCACAGGGGCTTAGCTATGCTAAAACAGAAAAGGGTCTACCCCAAAATGTTGCAAAAGGTTGAAGGTTCACAATTTCCTAAAATGTCTTTGTACCATGAACACTGTAAATGCCTGACATGGATAAATCACAGAAATATTACCTCCAATTTACTTCAAGGGCAATAAAGCAGTTTTAGAAATTAAGAAGTAGAAATGCATTCACTAAATGCTGCTTACTTGTAAGTTAGCTGCTCTGGACCCACAAACAGGTTCACACGGGTCAGTCCTGTGCGTGTACCAAGGAAAGCAATCTCCACATCCTTGTCTGAGTTTCTGAATATAAATAAATAAGATCAAAATCTACTGGACATTACAGGAAGTTAGCCATAATACAAAACAGTGTAAATCAAATTCACTACCTGGCAAATTGCTAGCATAAATAGCCATTGTAACAATTATCAGAATACATCAACAGAGAAGTCTAGAGGCACAGTTTTGAATACAGTCTCCCCATTTTTAATTTGCGGATTGGATATAGTGAATACTTTAATACTTCTGTACAGTAACATGAAATAAGAAAATCAATAAATATTATTTACAAATATGTCCATTTTTTCTGGAATTTTGCTTTGAATCAAAATGCTATAAGAGCATCCACTGATGTTTTATTTTGGGTCTATTGGATGAGTGGTGGATTGTGACATTACCACACCTTGTCTAATCAGAAAAAGCTTTGTATTCATTGATAAAAACACTAGACCTTCTCTAAATGGCCACTGTGCCAAGCAACCAAACCCCTACATATTCATAGCAGAGGGGAAGAGGCACTGTCCAGCTCAGAGCCAAAACTAGATCAGGAAGATCACTGGATGTCTGTCAGCCAACCAAGTACATCATATGCATACTTACAATGGGCCAAGCTGGACCAGCTTAAGCATGCATAACACTTGACATCTTGGGGGTGATTTACTAACCTAAACACACGCACGCACCAGGTGCGTGTGATTTTCACACAGCAAAACGTATTTATCAATGAAAAAGTCTCTAAAAGCATATTTCCACTAATGCCATATATGGAAAAATCATGCACATGATGCACATATATTGCTGCTTCACAGTTTAGACAAAAATGGTTAGCTCATGCATTTACATTCCTGCATTCATCAACGCAAGCAACACAACATAGAGCTAATTTACACAACATCACCTTGAAATTCATGCTTGGCTTTGCACAACACACCTGCTGGGTGTGTACACACTACAAAGGTGTTTAGATTCCACCCATAGATCATGCTGGGAGGGAACACACTACAGAGGTGTATACATGTTCGTGGTGTGTTTATAAGGTTAGTAAATCAACCCCCTTGAGTTCAATTGTAGCGCAATAAAAAACATACCCATCCCTTCTTTTTTCCAACACAATGCACAGATGTTTTACATCTGTGCGTTGTGGTCCATGGAAACTCCCGCACATTAAAGGTCGCTGCCAAGTTGCGTTGGGGTGGTATTCATAATAAATGGCATCAAAATACGGATCTTGCATCACGTGCATTTGGATAGACACATTTCACTATGCATTGCTGTTAGTCAGCATGATGTAAAGGATGGGCACAAACACATCATTTTCCATGGCAAAAAAAGGAATTAAAATGTTGTGGTACACTTATTGATAAATGCACTAACTCACATTAAGACAATATCCAGCTTTTCCACAACTTCTTCTTTAAAGTACCAATACTGCACTTCCATTGGTTGTAAGAGTTAAAAAATTGATAAGGATAAATACTCACTCTGATTTGTTCAGTGCAAGGCTGGTCCAATAAGCCTCCAATGGAGCACTGACCACAGCATCAAACAAAACCTCTTGTATTAGCTCTTTGTCACCTGAATCAGAACAATATATTATTAGACTCTTGAATATATCTATATACACTTTATAAGATAAGAGTGTGTGTTTTACCTTTAGAATCCATGTGTGGAATCAACAAAGTGCTGAAAATGTACTTAATGGATTTTGGTTCATGGTGATCTGATATGCCCTTTGCATAGACAGTGTCCCTTTAAAGATGCCCCTCTGCCATGCAGTGGTTATCTAAGCAGTTGTGGACTTTCTAATAGTACAAGCAGGTCTGATTATTCTTTTTATTCCTCTGATATTAACAGTCTGTTAGTAAACAAAACTGCCACCCAGTTGAATGCTTTTTGCACTTTCTCTGTCTATATTAATATAGAGCAGCGGTACTTAACTTGTGGGTGATGACCCAAAAGTGGGTTGCAAACACCTGTTGAGTGGGTTGCCTCGTGCCTTCTTCTGTGCTAGGTGAGAGGCTCTTCAGTCCCCAACTAGAGCAGCAGTGTCAGTTCTCCCGCTTGCCACCAGGATGTCGCTGCAGGGACTGGGGAGGAGCTGATAGCAGGTGAGTGTTTTTTATTCTATATTTAGCCTACTTCGGGCAAGCAGAGTTAAATGTACAGAGGGGGAGCTGGTCAAGTGAGCCGCCAACATCACTTGTAATTAGCCTGCTGCTTCGTCCTAATCCCCCGCAGCCACGCCTCCATAGATCATCCCCCCTGCTGGCCACCTCGCTGACTGCTATGGTTTTCGGGTTCCCCCGATCTTCTGGGGGTCCCGGGACCACAGCAAATTGCTTCCCATCTCAGCTGTCATAGGAGTTCCAGGTCATGATGTGCCGTCCGGCTTTCTGATAGGCTAGGAAGCTGGCTTCACTTGTTGCTAGGCAGCTTGGCTTCCTGATCAATCAGAAAACTGGGCTGCACCTCATAACCTGCTGCCTGGCTTCTTGATTGGTGAATCTCTAAAAATATAGGTGATTTTTTTTACTAATAATAATACAAAATAGTACTTTTTCCATTGGGGGTCACCACAACTTGTCAAATGTTACCAAAGGGTCCTGACTCTAGAAAGGTTGAGAACCACTGGCCCTGAGACTGTAGCAAGTGAAAACCCAAAGAAGTTGGCAATTTTTAAGATGCTGCATCTGCCACATCTGGCACCAACAATTATCAGTCAAACTCATTCAGATTACACATCTTTCCCATTCAAATGTTTCATAAAACCACAATGGTTTTTGACCATGTCTGCATACCTTAAGAATTGCAGCCATATGACTCTTTGCTTCGCTATTTGTAATAATGAGCAGGTGTACCTAATAAAGCAGACACTGAGCACTGCCACTTGCTTGGAATATGTAACGCATGTAAAACCACTCCTATAAACTTTTATAACAAGAAGTCAAAAAAGACAGTTTGGTATGGTATGAATCGTAGATAACTATAGAAGACATGTTACATACAGTGGAAGCAGACCATTGTAGACACACACAAGTATTTATTAGAATAATCCATGACTGCAAACTAATAACATCACTACAAACTCAATCAGCGATTTTGGCACATACTGCTATTGTCTAGGTTCCAGAGTGAATTAATAGGAAATATTTACAGCAACAAGGACTAATCATACAACTTGCACCGTTAATATATAGCAGATTGGGTTTGTGTATTTTTAAAATAATTTTCTTTATTATTTTTGGTCAAGACTAAAATTTTAATGGTTTGGGAGCAATTTTATTTTAAATTAGCTTTTAACATTTTACAAGTTTTTTTTTAAACTGAACTAAAAAAAAAAAAAAAATTCAAGGGAAAAGGTGTTCATCTTTATATATTGTGACCCTGTCGGTGTGCTGCTCTCTAGTTCAACTGTTCTCAACCAGGGTACCATGGCTCCCTGGGGTGCCTTCTGTCTTTTTCAGGGATGCCTGAAGATTTTCACATTGTCATGCCTCCAATAAGAAGAGTGCTTTAAGTAGAGTGCTTCTGATGTGAAGGGGAGGGCTCCTGATGTGAAAAAGGGGGACTCATATGTGAAAAGGGGCTCCTAGTGTGTGAGGGGCTCCTAATAAGAAGGTGGACTCTTGATGTAAAGGGAATGCTGAGGTGAAAAGGGGATCCTACCGTGAAAGGGGGGGGGGGGACTGATGTGAAGCAGAATGTGAACCCCACTTTTCTATTTTTTTCTTGGGGTTCCCCCTTGGATAAGGGTCTGTTATGGAGTTTGGAGGGACCATACATCATTTTTTTATATTTACGTTTCTATACTGGGTTGCCCTGAGATTTTTCATACTTTTAAAGAGTCCCGGGACTGAAAAAAGGTTGGCAAATGCTGCTCTCATGTGTAGGAACCCCAATAAATATATTTCCAATAAAAGACTATAAGGTAAATATTATTTCTTACAATCAGCCAAACCCCAGAAATACAGTACCTATTTTGGTGTCCCAACACTGATGTTACATACCTAGGACCAAAATGACAGTCCTATATTTTACTTCAGCTTTTTCTACCCTTTAGCTAGCTGCAGCCTGGCTCAAGCCTCAAAAGAGAACCTAGAGCCACCAAAAAAAAGGGGTTTTTACTTACATTCCAATGATGGCTCTTTTCCTGTGAGGTATTTTTTTATTGCTTTTAACTGAGTGAGGTGACGGTGTTCTGGATGCAGATCTATGTTGCAATATGTCCTTTAAAAAAATAATCAGTTAGTCCACTGAGCATACAACAGAACCGTCAGCAATTAGAACACTTCTAAAACTCACCACTCATCAGCCAATGAAACATCAGGGTGTTCTAGATCATGTAAACCTAGGAGCAGAAAACAGAGGATCATACTGTTATTTCCCAGGTTTCCATTGTGTATAGAAACCTACGCTACTGTGTCTGACTCAAAGTGACATTCAACTCAGGAGTTAAATCTTAAAAATAAATTCAAGTAGCTAAACTTTTAACAAAAGTGTAGTTTATTTGGGTATTACTTGGCTGTAGATCTTCAAATTATCTCTGAATTGGTGCTGACACTGCCCTTCCATCTGGAGGGTGGCTACTTTTGTTCCCCATGGTCCCTTTGTGTGTTGTAAAGTAGCCACCTCTCCAAGCTCGCTCCTGTGATGGACTACAATCTCAATACAAATTAGTAAACTAAACATGAGATCGTAATCCATCACGGGAGTGAGCTTGGAATGGTGACTACTTTACAACACACACAAGGACCATAGGGAACACAAGTAGCCACCCTCCAGAAGGAAGAACAGTGTCAGAACTTTTATCTCTCTCCTTTTTTGTATAATATAGTTAAACAATGCAGAGACAGACTTTTTAGGAGCGATTACAAACAGAGAAGACAGTTTTAATGTTGTCTTATTGCTGGCAGATGTTTCCATGGCATTCCTATATGTATACTTATAGATACCACATTCCGGGGAGCACTTGACAAATTTTTTACAGGCGAAGAATTCTCTAAACAGTTTGCTGGAAATAATCTGACAGATGATAAGACCCACAAAAAAGTACAAAAAAGAGGCAATGCATTTTGAACTAAAAAAAAGGGAAAAATATAATCTTAAACATTTGGGGTAGAATACATTTTATGCTTCAGTTGTCTTAATGAAAACATCAAATGTAGTTTATCAGTTCAAGCGTCCCCCCACATCCTATTTTCTCCAGAAATAGAGCTTTGCAGGAGCTAAACTGAACATAACATGCAACTTTTTGTGGTTTCTGGTAACCTGATGGGGTGCCTAAATATATTTCTTTTTTTCAATCAAGAATTTTTTATTTTATTTTTGTTTTACAATATATAACATCAGTCCAACATATCAGTGACAAAGGTTCACGTGTGATGGCAAGATATGGACATTTAGCGTCCTCAACACTTTCGCTATATAGGCACTGCTCTGGTAGGAGCAGCACACAACGGGTTAACACAGTTACTAATAAACATTTCTGAGGTCATTAATCTAGTTGAATTAGTGAACTTCTAATACTCTAGATGTAACAGAAAGAAGTGTAAATATTTGTGGGGGGCCGCGTACTACCCGTACGCCACCCTCGTTGTTCATTCAGGTAAGGGAAGGGTAAAGGGGGGGAAGTAGGGAGGGTCAGGAGGGAGACAAGGTCAGCAGAAGCTCATAGGTGCGAGTGGGGGTGACCTGGTGGAGGCACGGACCCGGCATGGTGCTATAGGGTATGGAACCCACCCTCCCGGGTCAGAGTGCCAGTAGTCTGGCGTCAAGTGAATGCATCTGTAGGTGCCGTATCCAAGGGTCCCAGGTCTGCTCAAAGTGAGGGACCTTGTCAATCAGCCTCCTAAATATATTTCTAATTTATGTAGACATGTTTTTGCAAATCCTGGGGACCTTCAGATCTGTGGCATCTGATAAATGCACCTCTTGCCCTACAATTTAAATTCTGTGTAGTTGGCATAAACAGGCTGTTTCTTACTGAGATTCCAGAATTGTGTCAGAAGACCTATTTCACATTACTTGGGTTCAAGGTCCCTCACGTAGATCACCATCTCAAGGAAATAATACAGCATGTAGATTAATATGTAAATGACATTACAACAGACTGCAGTCGTTTTAAGAGTCAATAATTATATGAGAGCAGAGGAGTAATACATAAATCCCGACTGTACTTCTGAAGGAAGTACCAAGTCATTGATATTGAACTGAACAGGGAAGAAATAGAATGGTTGAGAAGATTTTCTAAACTCTTTACTTAGGACTGTTGAGTTGTCTTATTGTGGTGAGTGGTTTTCCAGAAGCTGCTCGGGTTTGAAGACCTGTCTTCAACCATAACTAAAATAATCTAACATTTAACATAGTTGCCAGGGTATGAAACAGTGTGGTCAGTCAGGCTATTGTCAAACACATTGGGGGTGATTTACTAACCTAAACACACACACACACCAGGTGTGTGTGATTCTCACACAGCAAAACGTATTTATCAACCAAAAAGTCTCTAAAAGCATATTTCCACTAATGCCATATATGGAAAAATCATGCACATGATGCATATATAATGCTGCTTCACAGTTTAGACAAAAATGGTTAGCTCATGCATTTACATTCCTGCATTCATCAACGCAAGCAACATAACATAGAGCTAATTTACACCACATTACCTTGCAATTCAGGGCAGGGCTTTGCACAACACACCTGCTGGGTGTGTACACACTACAAAGGTGTTTCGATTCCTCCCATAGATCATGCTGGGAGGGAACACACTGCAGAGGTGTATACACGTTCGTGGTGTGTTTAAAACGTTAGTAAATCAACCCCATTGGCTTAAGGCATATCACCGTATGCATTTGTTTAAGAATTCTAAATAAGGCATATAGTTTGTGCAGATGAGCAAAAGACCAATCATTTTACATTCTTCAAACAATCACCAAGTATTGATGCCAGAGGATCATTCCCATAGAACACATTTAGGTTGGCTTATTAATGTAATTCTATTTTGCTTTGTTTGGCCACCATTGGGAAATTATAACTAAATCCAGAAGCAAAAAAGGAAAAGGTATAAACAGGGTTCTGAGAGGAGTCACGTGCCTCTGCAACTCAAGAAACCCATAAAGAACTCTTGTTTGTCTTTAAGCTTTTACTTAGTAGACTGAACAGTACAACAGGAGCTTTAAAGAAAAAAGCATGCTGGCTTTAGTAACAATCGGATTGTGGAACGTGTCAGATATTACATTTGTAATCGTAAAGTGAACCTGTAAAGATGGAAATATGGGAGCTGCCATTACCAATTTGTTACAGGCCCCAGGGATGTTATGCTTAGCCTGACTTCACTCGAAGTAGTAATACTAACAAGTAGTAATACCAACTAAGAAGCTCATCTCAAACATACATGTGGGAGGGTAGTCCAATTTTTATTTTTTGATAGTATAGGGTAGATTTAGAACTACTGTTTTATTAGCTGTACTAAGGAAATTCGCCTCTCTCAATTTGTCCCTGGTGACCCTTGTCAATGGCCCCCAGCCATAGAAATAAAAGTGGTGAGTGGTACACGTGCGCTGTGGGAACTGGATGCAACTGGGACTTTTTTCTGTCAAGGCCATTTGGCGCCAAGCGGGGCTGTGCAGTAAAGATCCCCAAAGCAAAGTGGAGGTAAGTGGTAGAAGATATAAATGTCAACTTAACAAAAAGTGAAGTTGTTCTTTAAGCATTAAATATAATACTGACAAATGTGAGGTGCTTGTAGTTTGTATAAAAAGGATCCATGACAAAAGGTATTTACAGCATGAATGAAAATCATCTTACCATCTTCTACAGACACATTTCCCCTGAAGAAATATTTGCCATGCCCTCTTGACAGAACGACTCCTAAGCTGAAATATAAAAGTACAGGCTGTGCAAATAATATACTTGTGTTTCTACCACATAAGAAAAAAATAATTATATTATTATGTATAAAAGAAAATTGTCTTGGGTGCAAGCAGCAATCCCTTTCACTTTCTAGCATGCATTGAAAACATGACAGATAAAATCTGATCAAGTGCCATGAAAAACAGACATTTTTCCTGACTATACAGCATGGTGCTGATCCATAAAAGCTAAAGAAAAGCAAACAAGGTCAAAATAATAGTCATATGTAGCAAGTTATGCTGCTGCAGCTTGTTATGTTATAAGCAGCATTTCCACTTTTGTGCTCATTTTTACTTTTTATGAATTAGCCCCCTGTGATTTCCAAATGTCCCAACCACCCAAACATCCACATTTTTAATGGAGAGTTACAAAAATACCCATAGTTACTGAAGAGATATACCTAAATGGGGTCCCCTTGATGTCAGTGTAGTAGTAGTCATTTGTCATCACCAAGACCCGTCTCTTCAAATGGAAACAAAAAAAGAAAAAAGAATGATTTTTGGGAGTAAATCTCTATTAAAAAACAAAATAGTACAAATGAAATTGGTAAATCCTTACCCCTTTGTCTACAGTCTTCTTGACCTCCATCGAAAATTTTCCAGTCTTTCTGTTCACCATGGCGTTTCTCAGCTTCAAACATCAAAAGATAAAAATAGGAAATAGATGGAAGTTAAATGTGCTTTCTCTCAAAACAATTGTATATAATATAGCATAATATAATATCTGGCATATATAAAGCTGAACCCCAGGCAAACCACTAAATAGTCAGGGAAAATACATATAAGGGGGCAGTTTTACCTACTATAGGATTTCTATTTCTGTTCACCTAGTACTGAGATTTATACAGCTCACACAGAGCTGGCAGGGCAGGGGACCTGATTGTTATCTTCTACAGTTAAGTAGCATTTACAGGCCTTGCTGCTCCCCCTCCCTATGACTGCACAGTGAAAGGATGAGCAATACACTGATGAGTTCATCTCTGTGTCATTCTCATCTCTCCTTCTGTCAGCATGTTCCTTGTTAGCACATGAGCATGGCAGTACCACTGATTAGCACTATGTGCTGCTTCTCATTCTTCGTGTTTGAGCACTGCTGTACAGGAACTGTAAAATGTCAAATGCAGGCACTGGCTTACTTAATTACTGCTTGCATTAAAAAAAAAAAAACATTTAATTATGTATGAATAGATACATAGATGAGTTAATTTGTGCATATAATATTTGCCTGGAGTTCAGCATTAAATATTTGATGTACCCAAATCATCCTGTAGATACTATAGAGTTATAGAAAGCTGATGGTTATTTCATATCTATCAAGGGCTCTGTTAACAAGACTTCTGTGCTTGAGTTCCTGGGTCAGCACACCTGTTGTGAACATTATAGAGGGGTGTTGCTCTACCTTAAAGCTGGGCGGAAGTAACCAAATCTCCCAAGAGGTCAGGAAAAGAGTTGTAAATTAAATTAGGCAGATATCATTGCTGGATTATCCAAGATATAAAAGAATGCAGGTGCTAACCAAATACCACTCCTGGGTAGACTGACCCTTTAAATAATATGTAGACATTTTTCAGGAATATTAAATAAATACCCATTGGGTTGTAAGACTCATATTTGCAAATACAGAGATTCAGTAATAACTCCCAATTAACTAACAGTAGCGAATAGCCATGACTATTAGCAGCTGTCATCAATCTGTTATAAACAGCTGCAACATTAAGGTTAGTGGGTCTTGTTAAATAGTTAAACCTGCGAACCGCAAGAGGCATAAAATCAGGAACACGGCCTCACACTTGCAGAGCATTAATATATTAAGATTGCTTTAACGTTTGCCATATTTTATGAAATATCACTTTATAACACAACATTCTAATTGTAAGCTATTAAATACAAATTAGCTCTATTTTCAAATTTGGTTTACAAAGTGAATTGCTTGCACATCGAACAAAATGAACTTTCAGAAAAATGCAGAAAGCCATGCCATGTTCGGCGAAATAACTAAACAGTTTAGAGCATTCCTGAGCCTTCAAAATAGGCTAATGTATGATCCAAGGAATTCATAAAAAATTAGATATGCTTGTCATTTGGACAAAGGCATTCTTCAAAGAATTCCAGCCTGTCTCCTCCTCTGCTCCAGCGATGGCATGTCGCTCGGGGTCCTCGTGTTTAATACACAGTGTATTGGACGTGATGACTCACGGGAACTTAGACCACTGGAGTAGAGGGGCATAAAGGCTGGAAGGATCAGTCTAAGAGTAAGCATGCTCCAAGGTTCAGGTGAGTAGGGTGGCAAGAAAAATTTCTCCCAGAGTTCTGTTTTAATAATCTACACTTGTAACATGTTGTTAGCTGTGCGTTAAACCTTTGAGAATTTCTTTGAGTAATTACAGTAAAAGTGGTAAAAACCATTATTACTGACTGGTATGTACAAATTATTGGTAAACAATTATGTACCTTGATATGAAGTTATGGAAAATAGAATCGATTCGGATGTTGCATATAGGACAAACAATATGTTGGTTACAGACTCCAGAGCAATGCCTACAGAAAGATTGTTCTAAAGTGTATGTATAGCCAAAACTTTATTTTTATTTTTTAGTTTTAGATAGAATATGGAGAGTAAAACTCCATGCAAGTTTATTTTTTTTTTGCTCCCATTGGGAAGGTTGACCTGTAATTCCTGTCCCAGAGATGCAGCAGAAAGTTAGAATAAATCTCTAAAAGAGAGGGAAATTCCACTCATGGACAGTGGTCCTTGGAACAGGTGTAAAGATTCTTCCTTACCTATTGTTCTGAGGGCAACTCTAGCATTTTGGGTTTCCCCTCACTTTCATTCTTGGTGACAATATTCAGGGAACAAGTTGGACGGTGAATCTCCCCAACAGGGACATAGACTGAAATAAAACACAACTGATTGTCTACCAATTCCCCGCTCTATCCAAAAATCACCATTTGTGAAATGTGTGTGGTTATTAAATGAAAACAAGCTATTGGAAATTGCTTGCCTCATGCTATATATGCAATAACCCTACAAACTAATCAACCTTCTAGTCAGAAGGCTCTGGAGGGAATATGAAAACTAATTGTGAACTAAGCTACATGCTGATTTATGGCTCCTTTTAGTAGCCCATGTGGTCCCCTTAGCATGTTTCAGTTGGATTTACCCTGCAGAGCCCATAGGTATATAGATAAGGTAAAAACTGATATAATTAAATAGGAAATCATATTAGATTAGAGGTGACTACAATCCTCATTTGGAACTTTGAACAAGTAAACATTTCCAGGACTGCTATTTCTTTAAAGGAACAAACACCTGAATTAGGGCCTATGTTGACAGGCTTTTGTTTTTTCTCAGATGGGCATTGCTTGTCAATCCAAGTTTATGGGGATTTAAATTCCACTTGAAGCAAGTGAAATGCAGGTCAGAATTAGGTCAAGTGCAGTGCAAATGCACATGACAATGAATTGATGATCTCAGAAGCCTCTCAACCTTTATCAAACTGATGCCATTGAAACAGGACTAGAGCCCATCAACACTGTCCCTTAGTTTTTTTTAATTTTTATTATGTTGGCAGAGTTATTTATAAACTGTGTGTAAGTGTAATGCAGGATGCTTAGATTAAAGTTTACATTTATAAAGTATCTACTGATGAAATACAAGGAAATATTTGTTTTAAAAAATACCTGCTCCTGGCCCCCTCATACTCTGGTGGCCTAGGTACAGGACCACATATGCCTTATTGTAAACACAGCTTTACATGTGAATATTTACCTTATACTTCTACTAGTTTCTTAAAAAGCAAATAAAAAAAAAGATCTTTGTTGCAGTTGGCGGCCATCCAAACAAGAGATATAATTAGTGTACAATAGTCTATTCAAACACTAAACATGGCAACGTGGCTCCAGAGGGTCTATAAAAGACACAGGACCCTGCAGCCGAAATTCTAAGTGGTAACCTCCATTTAAGCTGCGTCTGCATTATGCTGAATAAACCTACGCCATAAAGGTTTCTCCCATTTACAAATAAGATCAATGACCTGTTTATTAGCCATTCTTTGCTGCCCTATTATGAGCCTGTGCACTCCCTCACACCTATAATTTTTAAGTTTCATAATATTTTATGTGCCAGTTCTTAATTATGGACGCCAGCACCATCATTAAAACAGCACGGGAAGCTTTTTGAAATAATCTTTTTAAAGACACATTGTTTGATGCAATTTTCTAGTACAAAGGTCTCTGCTGAGAAAAGGTAACAAAGACTGTATGTGAGAGAGATAGGACTGGGGTCTTGGCAGAGGCGGATAAAATAGAAAGCTACTGACTGTAAGAAAAAAACAAAACATTCTTGATAATAAATTTGTGTTTGCATTACAATTACAAACCATTCCTATCAGTTTTGACCACCTATTGAAAGTTATGAGCTCCAGGTATTAAGTATGGCTAGTATAGCTAAGATGTGTTTCTCTTCAATAACTGGTAGGGATGCACCTATACCGGGTATTTGGGCGAGTACTCGTACTCTCTGAAATGCTTTGATACTTACCTCCGATACCGCAACATCCGGTCAGAGGGAAATCTCTTGGGGCCAGCTTTCTTTCTAATCAGGAAGCCATGCAATGGGTTATGATCTGCCTGAGTGTCTAGGAAGCCGGCTTCACTTGTTGCTAGGAAGCCCGGCTTCCAAACCTATCATGAAGCCGGGCAGCACATAATGACCGGCCTCCCGCTTTCCTGACTGGTCAGGAAGCCAGACTGCTTAGGAACAAGTGAAGTCGGCATCCTAGCCAATCAGGAAGCCGGGAGGCGGGTCATGACATCCTGCCCAGCTTCATGATTTGCAAGGAATCTGGCTTCACTTGTTGCTAGGCAGCCTGGCTTCCTGACCAATCAGGAAGGCGGGCGGCACCTCATGACTCGCCGCCCTGCTTTCTGATTGGTCTGGATGCCAAGCAGCCTCGGCAAGAGCAGTCATTGTTCTTTCGATAGAACCCTGGCTTCACATCAAAACAGGAAGCTGGGCGACGGGTCATGATTTGTTGCCCAACTTCCTGATATACGGGGCACACGGCACCAGAAAACCCGGAGAGCATCCCTAATAACTGGATAGCTTTTTGTCACCCAATCCAAGCTTAAAGGGTTTTCTACTTTACCTATAGACCTTCTTAAACTCCTTTAATAAAGATGTCAAAGCCTGCAAGATTTTGTTTTTCTAGTTATTGCCCATTGTACACTGTAACATTAATAGAGGCCGCTGTGTGTACTTTTCTACAAGTTTGGAAGCAGAAACATCTCACTGATTAAGATCTTACCTCTTATATACTCTTTCAAGCTATATACCTTTATGGTTGCTGTGAGGGGCTTTTATAACTTTGGGATAAACCAAGCAGCTAGGATAGAGAAACGTAGAGGATATAACCGCTTTAAACCTTTGTGAAAATCCCTTGCCTCTGGAACAAAAAAAAACCCTAAACATGCTCTAAGAACTCAGTAGGAAAGCAGGAAGCCTCACACCGATTACGTCACATCACATCCAACTTTTTTTCTTAAACTTTAGCACACTACCGCCTAGGACTGCCTTTCGCTAATGTTTCACCCAATATGGGCTTGATCACAGAGATAGAGGGTTTAATATAA